TAAGAGCCTCTTGTGCTAGCTCATTCTGCGTCGAGGTCCATAGCTCAGACAATCCTTTTGACCCTTGCGCAATTGCTGGCTGCTCTGTGAGTATGCTTCTCAAAACCACTTGCGTAAGGCCTTGTCCTTCCTTTGCTTATACTTATGGTGAAGGTGGTCTTGTCTCTGGGATACTAACCAGAGATATACTGAAGACTCAAACCATGGATGTTCCGCGATTCTCTTTTGGCTGCGTAGCTTCCACTTACCGCGAACCTATTGGCATTGCTGGGTTTGGAAGAGGTTTACTCTCCCTCCCGTCGCAGTTAGGGTTCGTTCAAAAGGGATTTTCTCATTGTTTCTTGCCTTTCAAGTTTGTCAACAACCCTAACATCTCAAGCCCTTTGATCCTAGGAGACTCCGCTTTATCCATCAATCTCACAAGCTCTTTGCAGTTTACTCCCATGTTGAATACTCCAATGTACCCCAACAGCTACTACATTGGCTTAGAATCCATTACAATAGGTACAAATGACACTGCCACACAAGTACCCTTAACGTTAAGACAATTTGATTCACAAGGAAATGGAGGAATGTTGATCGATTCAGGTACAACTTACACACATTTACCCGATCCTTTCTACTCACAACTCCTCACAACTCTCCAGTCAACCATCACTTACCCTAGAGCCACGGAAACAGAATCAAGAACAGGCTTTGATCTCTGCTACAAAGTCCCATGTCCTAACAACAACCTCACTAGTCTCGACAACGATGTAGTAATGATCTTTCCTTCGATCACATTCCATTTCTTGGACAACGCGACCTTACCTCTACCACAAGGCAACTCATTTTACGCAATGGGAGCGCCTAGCAATGGCTCGCTTGTGAAATGCTTGTTGTTTCGGAACATGGAAGATGGAGATTATGGTCCGGCCGGAGTTTTTGGGAGCTTTCAGCAGCAAAATGTGAAGGTTGTCTATGATTTGGAGAAAGAAAGAATAGGGTTTCAAGCTATGGATTGTGTCTCAGAAGCTACTTCACATGGACTTTACCGAGGCTCATGAAAGAAAACAAATCATCAATCTTTTGAGTTGGTTTTGCGAGTTGTTTTCTTGTCTTTTTGTTATGCTCTTGTTTAATTAAATGTCTCGTTGTATGTTTGTATTTGTTGTTTTCTATTAATTAACTTATTGTTTTTGAGTTTATATATAATTAATTGTCTTTTTTGGGATTAATGATTAGGGTTCTTGAGCTGGAATTAGCTAAAAATAGCGAGTAAGTTGGAACTTAGGAACATGTCGTCGTGGAATACATGGCAATGTATAAGAAGACAAAACTAGGTGATCTGTTAAAAGTTTAAATTGTTTATACATTACCCAAAAGCATTACATGTGTATATATATTATAATACGTGCCGTCCCGAACATATAAAACTAAAGGAACTTGATACTCTTGAGAAAACCATTTTTATCTTAACGTAATCGATTACACCAACTATGTGGTATTCTGTACTTGTATCGATTTTTAATATTCCACTAGTCCTTATATGTGTTATGTTAAATAAAAAACTAAGATTAAAGAAATAGTTTAAATCCACTAAGATTTTGTTTTATACATTTAAAGCTTTTACATACTAAATAATTTTATAAGTACCCTTTTTTTTTTTCATCACTGGAAGATTTATATTAAATAAAATATAAAAGGTCGGATACAAAACTGGATAACCCAGAAACAAAGCTCGAAAGTTTTACGGGAAGCCAAACCCTAAAGTTTAAGGGAAACCAATCGAAATTAAAAGCAAAAAGGAGAAAAACCACACACATCGAAAGACACTACAAAGCCTAAATCACTACCCAAAACAAACAAGGCCTCTTAAACTTTCAATCGGATCTTGCAAGCTTACAAAGACGGACATCCAAACTAACAAGGAAGAAATGAATCTCTCGCTTAACCCTCGTCCCAGGTCACTTACAACCGGCGAAGCCATGATTTCAATCCAAACATCCAAGACAACTGCACGATCCTTTTCCACAGAGCACCTGAAGCCTGACAGATATGAAACCACTTCAAAGAAACCTTCAACACCAATCAAAACGGCCAATGTAGAGGAGAGGATAATCCAAGCAAAGCTGGGTCTTCACATGAGAGGGAGAAAGGAGCTTGAAGCAATAACAAGTCAAACCAACCGAGAGTACGCCACAGACTAGCGGAGAACAAAGCGAAAACGAAGCGACATCAAGGCCAAAGCCAGATAAACCGGTTACGGAACCGCCGAAACATCCACCAACGACCGACCGCAGAGACAGAAACTACATAGACTTGCAAACGAAAAAACAAGAGGAGCACGGCTCCGGTGCTTTGGAAGCCACCGAAGCCGGCCACACACGCTTCGATATCTAGGTCTCCTCTCTCTCTAAAGATAGCCTAGCCCTCACAAAACCTAGGGTTTTAATCAACCAAATAATTTACACTCATCAACCAAATAATTTTACACGCCATATCACAATCACTCTAACTAGCAAAGCAAGGTAACGAACTAACCATGACTTTTGCAACAATATCATTGGGTCCACTGATGAATACTCTCAAGGCCACACAACCAAAACTTGAAAAACGCCGCCTTCCTCTGCTCAATATCCAAAAGCCGAGATCTTTTTTTGGATTATGATTCTGTTTCTATAGATGTTTTATAAGATGTATTCAAGGCCACAAATCACATTTTACTATCCACGAAAAATGATTTGATTTTGTTTTGCAAACCCTTTAAATTGTAAGGATAAAGCTTTTGACAAATTTAGGGTAGATTAGCTTATGAATTTTAATAAATTTGGATATTTTGAATGAATAA